TCGCACTTCGGACATTTTTAACGTCAAGCACTTGGTGCCTTTTGCAGAGGATAATTCGGACAAAGACGAGGCTGGTTCGGATTCGCGGCCGAATCCTTCTCAACCGGGGGAGGATGATGGAGACGAGGCTGCCTTGGCATATTTGGATAAATTTGATCGGCTTCGGATTTAGTTCTTTATTTATTTTATTTCCCTTTCCTTTTATTTATGCATTTTCCTTATTTCCTATTTTAGTTTAGGTAAGAAAATAATGTCCTTGCAGTTGTTTGGCAAGGTAGGACTCTCTTTTCTATTTATTAGTTGATGTGAGATTGAAAAAAGACGATTGAAGATTTTATGAAATTATCTGGTGTTCTATTTTCACGAGAGAGTATCTCGTTCTTCCCTGTTTACATATCACGTTCTACATCAGATACTTGTCCTATAACTGCCTACTGTAGTGTTTGCTAACTTTTAAATTAGAATTATGTGCAGTATGACTAATTTGCCAACTTTTGAATTAGAATCATGTGCAATAATTGTACGACTTCTGTAGTAATGTTGAAATCCAATGAATATCCCTGTCATGGGCTGATACCCAGTGATCTCAAAGTAGCCAAGTAAAGCTTAAGAAAATAGATGAAATTATCGTACCCACTTAATGGTCCAAAAATGACGAGTATTATTTTATTGCCAAATGAAGCCAACATGAAATGAGCTCGTTTGGAAACACTTGTCAAATGGATTTTTGGTTGTGAAAGTCTATTTGGATAAATATTAATGCTTGGCGCTAAATTAAAAATAAACTTATGGATAAGTTGTTTCTTAAGGGCATGCTTGTTTATCAAATAATTCATTCAAAATGAGTTATTGTATATGTAAATGTACCATGATGACGGACCGTGTTTTTATCTATACAGGGTTGTGAATAAAAGTGCACTCAGGGCCTTCGTTTATCCACGATAGGTGTATCTAACAGACGCACTATCGGCCTTCTCCTAGACACTGTGACTTCAAGACGCTCTAATGGCCTTCTCTCCGACACTGTATGTAAACACGCACTAACGGCCTTGTTTAAACACACGTAAGAACATAAGTTCCCCTCTTAATTGGCTCACCAATTCAATACTCAATTCAAGACATCCCATAATGATGAGGTACATGGGGTATTTATAGGTGCAAAATAAATCTAAGTCTAACTATATTAGATCTCCTAAATCTTGCAATAATAGAAATCCTAACACTAGAAAGCAATAAAATCCTATTACTACCAAATAACTAATGCTTGGCTTGCACACCAAGCAATTCTAGAATTCTCCAAGTCTTCCACACACTCAAAACTCTCGGCCGCCTCTTGCGCGTCGTGCGCGTGCGCACCCTAGCCGCCTTTGCGCGCGCCGCCATGCTTTGCCTACTCCTCGTTGCGCGCGGCAACCCGCGCGCTTACTTCCCACGTGGCGTCCTTTGCCTGTGCGCCCAGTCCACCGACCTTACCTTGCGCGTGCGTCCCCTCGCGTGCATCGCCTAATCCTGCCCCGCCTAGGACACCGTCCGCGTTGTCCCACTCGCGCGCCATTGCGCACGCCCTGCCCTCGCCGATCTCCTCGCGCGCGTTGTGTTGCGCGCCCGCGTGCTACCCACTTGCGCGCCCTTCGCGCCCCATCCATTCTCCGCGTGATGCCCGCGCGTCCCGGCTACCGCCCGCGCTCCAATCCTCTATCGCGCATCCCCATGCACCTGCTGCACCGCGCGTCCCAGCCGTCCCCGTGGCCTGCTCGCCTACTATGCTCCCGCGTACGCCCATTGCCATCCGCGTGCCGCTACCCTCCGTTGCCGATTCTTCCGACCCGCACCATTGTGCGTTGCTTGCGTCGACGTTGCTCGCCCGTGCACCGTCTCGACCCTTCGACCCTTTGCGTGCATCACGGCACGATGCGCGTTCCTCGCTCGTGCTCGCACCCTCGTCGCCAACCGACCCCAAGTGCTCGCCCGATTCTTTTGGCTTTCCCGACGGCCATGGATCCCATCCATCCAACCCAACACAATCACCGGCTCGCCAAATCCAACCATCCTCCATTCTACTCTTACCTCGCCTTCGAGCCTCCATCTTGCGAACTCGCCTTTTCCTTACACAAGGCTTGCACCAACACTTCCCTTCTTTAGCCTTCGCCTTGTCTTTCCTTCGATCTCGTTTGGTCTTGCGTCTCTCAGGCTTAAGTTTAGCTCTTGGACCGCATCCTTTCGGCTAATCCCTCACACATGATGGCCGGTAAATAGGACTAGATGGCTCCTCCAACATATTTTCTAGCCAAATATCGAGACCACCGCCACCTTCATCCTTCGACTCGCCTGGGTTGATGACCACTTCCGTATCATTCCCCTCCTCTTCGAGACTTTCCTTGTCCTCAAGGATTAGAAAATTCAGCCACCCTCATCTTCATGGTCATGAGCATCGATCACCATCGTTTCTCGGGCTTCCATGAGTTGACGCTCGTACTCTTCAATATTCCTTCGCTCATGAAGCTCATCTAGAAATGTTTTCTCCCATGGTGTGAGCTCTCTTTCCAACCTTCCAACATCTCAAGATCTTCCCAATCTAACTCATCCAATGGTGGGTAAGACATTTTTTGTTTTTTTTTTACTCTAAAAAATTCGAACAAAAATTCGAACCAAAATAAAAAAATAAAACAAAGAGAAATTCAGCCCCTCAACAAAAGGTAATAACCGAACAAAAATCAAACAAACGACTAACAAGATGACACTTTTTTTTAAGACACGAAAAAATTTGAAAGATTCGAATAGAAATTCGAAAATTTCGACCAAAAAAGAAAAGAAATTCCGTCCCTCAGCAAAAGGCAAACCGAAAAAAAGAAAAAGATAGGATAGATAAACACACGATCAGCCCCTCTCAATGAAAGCACCAATGATGACGGACCGTGTTTTTATCTATACGGGTTTGTGAATAAACGTGCACTCAGGGCCTTCGTTTATCCACGATAGGTGTATCTAACAGACGCACTATCGGCCTTCTCCTAGACACTGTGACTTCAAGACGCTCTAATGGCCTTTTCTCCGACACTGTATGTAAACACGCACTAACGACCTTGTTTAAACACACGTAAGAACATAAGTTCCCCTCTTAATTGGCTCACCAATTCAATACTCAATTCAAGACATCCCATAATGATGAGGTACATGGGGTATTTATAGGTGCAAAATAAAGCTAAGCCGAACTATACTAGATCTCCTAAATCTTGCAATAATAGAAATCCTAACACTAGAAAGCAATAAAATCCTATTACTACCAAATAACTAATGCTTGGCTTGCACACCAAGCAATTCTAGAATGCTCCAAGTCTTCCACACGCTCAAAACTCTCGGCCGCCTCTTGCGCGTCGCGCGCATGCGCACCCTAGCCGCCTTTGCGCGCGCCGCCATGCTTTGTCTACTCCTCGTTGCGCGCGGCAACCCGCGCGCTTACTTCCCACGCGGTGTCCTTTGCGTGCGCGCCCAGTCCGCCGACCTTACCTTGCGCGTGCGTCCCCTCGCGTGCATCGCCTAATCCTGCCCCGCCTAGGACACCGTCCGCGTCATCCCACTCGCGCGCCATTGCGCACGCCCTGCCCTCGCCGATCTCCTCGCGCGCGACACAACGCGTGCTGCCCACTTGCGCGCCCTTCGCGCCCCATCCATTCTCCGCGTGATGCCCGCGCGTCCCGGCTACCGCCCGCGCTCCAATTCTCTATCGCGCATCCCCGTGCACCTGCTGCACCGCGCGTCCCAGCCGTCCCCGTGGCCTGCTCGCCTACTATGCTCCCGCGTACGCCCGTTGCCATCCGCGTGCCGCTACCCTCCGTTGCCGATTCTTCCGACGCGCACCATCGTGCGTTGCTTGCGTCCAGCTTCTCGACGTCGCTTGCCCGTGCACCGTCTCGACCCTTCGACCCTTTGCGCGCATCACAGCACGATGCGCGTTCCTCGCTCGTGCTCGCACCCTCGTCGCCAACCGACCCCAAGTGCTCGCCCGATTCTTTTGGCTTTCCCGACGGCCATAGATCCCATCCATCCAACCCAACACAATCACGGGCTCGCCAAATCCAACCATCCTCCATTCTACTCTTACCTCGCCTTCGAGCCTCCATCTTGCGAACTCGCCTTTTCCTTGCACAAGGCTTGCACCAACACTTCCCTTCTTTAGCCTTCGCCTTGTCTTTCCTTCGAGCTCGTTTGGTCTTGCGTCTCTCAGGCTTAAGTTTAGCTCTTGGACCGCATCCTTTCGGCCAATCCCTCACACATGATGGCCGATAAATAGGACTAGATGGCTCCTCCAACATATTTTCTAGCCAAATATCGAGACCATCGCCACCTTCATCCTCCGACTCGCCTGGGTTGATGACCACTTCCATATCATACTATCCCTTCGCGCTCTCTTTTGTTACTGTATATGTAATTGCTACCATCCCTGTTGAGTTGCAATTAGTATTAATTGCCACTCTTATTGCTTGAAAACATGAAGACCAAACTCCATTTATAGGACCAAATAAAAAAAATAAAATTATGCAAGATGTATCGAAAGCAAGAATGAGTCAGCTGTGCTGTGCACAACCGAAGTCTTCTAGTATTATATATATACAAACTCAAATCCATGAACTTTATTTAAGATTAATTCACTTCACTACAAAATTAAATAAAACTTATTTTTTTATTTTTATCCGCCCATGAAAAATTGCTACCGCACCATTTAAGGTTCAAGTATTTATTTATTTTTTATTTTTTTATTCTTTTAGAACTATGATCGTTATTTGTTAGGATAGTCTGTTAAAAAGGGGAGGCTTATGGGAATGCAACAATGTTAAAACTCTTGAGGGAGAGTTTTGCTGCCCTTCTGGTCCTACCCGACTCGATTTCGGATTAGTCGGTTTTCCTGTGGATCCGAAAACCAGAATCACTATTAAAAAAAAAAAGGGGAGGCTTATACCACATTCGCCTTTGTGGCTTATAGATAATTAGAAAGGTATAAAATGGCCAGGAGGCTGTTTTCCCGCCTACCCTCTCTCTGCACCGTCGCAAAAACCCAACTCCAAAACCACGTCGTTTCTCCCCCAACACCGACGATATATTCTTCTAATCTCACTTGCCGATATCCACGCCTTCTTCCTCGCCCCAATCCAATTTTCCAAGGTAACGCTTTCTTTCGTTCACCTCCAAAACTTATGCAGCTTATGTGTTTGTGTTAAGTCCTCAATGAACAGTTACACCTTTCTCCTCTTATTTTTCTTTTCAACGATCATAATAATATTTCTAACTCTTTTTCCACAGATGCTCGAACGTACGCCCGCGGCAGTCGACCCCCGAGCTACGACCTCTTTGGCGGCAAAGTCCCGAACCCCAAAGAGTTCCGAGAGAAGTGGGCCCGGCAGATGGAAGATGAGGAGGACCATCTCTGGACCGCCAGCGAGGACGACGACGAACACGACAAAGACCCCAACATCCAGCTCAAGAAGGACATAAAAAAGGCGAAGCAACGGGCCAGGGCCCGCTCCGACCCGGGGGTCGATGCTGACGACAGCGACGAGCTCCGCAGCATCTGGTCCTCCGACAGCGACGGCGAGAAGTCCCTATGGACTGGCGACGAGGGGGACGACGAGGCCGATGCCCCCACCGATCCCATTCCCAACGAGCGCAGCGACGAGTACATCGACCGGCTTTTCGAGTTCGATGAGAAACCCAAGCACCGGACGCTGGCGCAGGCAATGAGAGACGAAGAGGAGCCAGAGGAGATGTCCCCCGGGAAGCGTGCCCGCAAGCTGGCTGTGCAGAATGCGCTGAGGAAGCTGAGGAAGGGGCCGGACGGGCGGTATGTGAATGTGTGGGAGGTGATGAGCGATTTGGATGTTCTGATTGGGGCGTTTGAGAATATTGTTTCGGGGCCAGAGTATGAGGAGCTCAGGAGGGGTGGGCCCAAGAAGCTGAACATGGAGTTCTTTAAGGACGTGCAGGCCAAGATGAGGGACCCCAATTACAAGTTCTCTCCCGAGCTGAAGCTGAGGCCCAAGAGCAAGGTGGTGCCGAGGAGGAAGTGGGAGAAGGCACAGTCGAGGAGGCGTAAGGCACAAAGGAGGTAGATTTTTCTTTGTTTCTTTCATTGATTTGTTTGTTGTGTGTGTGTGTGATGGTATGGACTGCCCAAGTCTTGGAGTGTCTCTCCTCTGTGTTTGATTACTGCTGAAACATGCTATCTGTTTGATGTCTTCATCAGTAACTGTTGCTAAGGTGTAAATATTGAAATATTAACTACAAGATAAATAACATATTTAACTAATAGATATAAATATTTCTTATCCACCAAGGGCTCGTTTACTAGCGCGGACGGGATATGATAAGGTTGGTTAACCAACCTTATCATCCGTTTACTAGGCTGGGAAGGGATACGGATTGTGCATACGTGGCGCGCGGTTGGCAAGTGGGTAAGCTGACGTGCGGTGTTAAATTTGTCCGCCGATTTTGGGCGGACAAAACAATCCCCATTTCATCCTTCCCATTTTAACCTCAATATTCCACTTGAAAAGTCTATTTTGCCCCTAATTGTCATCAAAATTACAGTATTCATTCTGATTTTATTAGGATCCAAAAGGAGATTACATGTCTTGTATTCATTCTGATTTTATTATTATTATTTTTTTTAAAAAATAATGGCATATTTGTTTGATATTGAAGTTTTAAAATGTTATGAGGTATTCCATTGGAGATTTCAGTCTTAAAAAGTCATAAGGTATACAATGTCACTTGGATTTGTCCGAATTTTAAGACTTGATAAAATTTCTAAGATTAAAAACATAGATGAAATCTCACATCAAATTCAAGCTCAAGACAATGATATTTCTAAGGATTCCATTAAATTGAAAAATCTTAAAATGTCATTCAAATTCTCAAATGAATACACCACCTACATCTTAGTATTTTTTTTTTTTTTTCCTCGATACACTTCAATCTATGCACACACTATTACAAAGGAGATACGTTTGTGAAAAATTGCATGGATGAGAAGGTCCTTGTATTTTATATATATCTTTAATGGCGTTTGTAGTTATAATTAATATTCACATAAAAAATAAATAAGGGTGACACTCCACTGATTTAGTAAACCTTAAATTATAGAGGAATTTGTACCCTATATCAACCATTATTCTTTATATTGCACATATACATTAAATACATAGTTATTTGCACACCTACCAAATTCACCATAATTATTTGCACATATACCAACTATTTATTGTAAATTTACTAACTATTATTTTTTCTAAGTTTATGTTTAGTTTATTTTAAATTTTTAACAGTGTTTGAATCATCAGATCCCTCGATGGGTACGAAAATTCTGTTCATATACCAAATATAAACATATAATAATGTAAAATAAACATACACAACAGTGGCGACCGATCTGGAATAAAATCGAATACGAATATTCGGTTCATACACCAAACATAAACGTAAAATAAACATCGAGAGAGGCAGCAGTCTCTAGGACAAAATCTCATATCTGATTGTTCATCTTCGTGCTTGCGCATCTAGAACAACCGAATTTTACAACTCAAAACACTACCTAGAACAACTGAAATTTATAAACCCTCGTCATCGTTGTCCAAATCGTCAGACCTCCTCGTGGCGGCGTGAACCAGCACCACTACGACCCGACGAGCTGCGCCCCCAGGACGTTGGCGGTGGTATGCGTGTAAGCCCCGTCCAAAATTATATATTTAGCTCGACTTTATTTATCGAAAATAGTAAAATATTAATTATGCTGAAAATTATTAGTATTAATCGCATAATTTATAAAATTCTAAGTTTAAGCCATGAAGAAACGTTCGAATTATTATTTCAGATACGAGAAAAAAATCTTAAGTCTAAGTCTCGATTTATTATTTTTATCGAGGACTAGAAAATCGGGAATTTATTTAATTAGTCGGCCCATTTTTATTCGAGTAGTCGAATTAAATTTCAAGACGAAGCGATATTTTAAATAGTCGAGCCCTCGTAGTATTTTATTTATCGAGCCCAAATCGATTAGTCCCCATTTTTTTAAGTATAAGACCGTCTCCAACCGAGACGGAAAACTCAAAATTTACAGTAGAAATCCCTCCAACCGATCTGCAAAACCTATCGCAAAATGCGATCTTCCTCTTCTCTTTCTTTGTTTGGACGCAATTTTGCGTCTGACGCAAAAATATGCGTCTCATCTTTTTATCATTTCAATCCTTTTAGTTTTAATCTCTTTCTTCTTCTTTCTTTTTTATTTCATTTTAGTCCCTTTATTTATATTTAGATTATATGATAATTAAATTAATGGATATTACTTATATATTTATTTAAAGTAATAATAATGATGTAAAATAATTAGAAAATTAATTTCATAATAATTAGATAGTACAATATTTAAAATAATAAATATTTTATCTATCATTTAATTTAATTTATTTCACAATAATAATGCAAATATGCATATTATTTATGGTATTTTTTATATAACAATAAAAGAAAAGTCTAGCATTAAATAACAACAACATTACAAATACATATTGAAATAACATTAATACGTGATAGATCACGGTTCAAAGAAAAACATTTCAATAACTAATGCTGAAATAAAAATAAAACATCACACGGTACTAAAATAAAAATACATCATAAACCCAACAACTGAAAACTAGCACGAATACTTAGTAATCTGGCAAGTTGGCACCGCTTCCTCCAAGATCATTGAAAAATTGTCCAAATGCATGGGTTGGATATGGATCTGGTTGGGCTTGTTGAGCTCTTTTCTCCAAGATTCGTGCCTTTTCAGCTTCAATGTGTGCTCGAACTCTAGGATCTTCAATGAAACTGACATCTTGAAACAAAATTTTATTTTCTTCCCTCATTTTTTTTAAGTGTGTGATCTATTGCGCATCTCCATTTGGTGTTTTATTTGGTCATTTGCATTTCTCATCTCCTCAACAAGTCTTTTGTTTGCTTCCTTCATCGCATTGATGAGCGATGATGAATCACCATTTACCTTTCTTTTTAGTTTGGCTTTCTTGACCCCAATAGGTCTTTCAGATGGAGAACTAGTAGCAAATTGATCCGAGTCTCTTAAATTTATAGAAAATGAAGAAATACCTGCGGACTCTTGTCGGGCAGACTCGGGAGTTGGATTTTATGACTCCGAAGATGGATAACAACCAGACTGTTTTTTCTTGCTCCTCGAAGCTCCATCTTTAAAATTTTTCAAAGTTTTTAATAACACCCAAACATGATCGTATTTCCATCCGGATTTGAATTTGGAATCTTCTTTGAACAACACTTTTGCTCTGAGCATCTACAATTTTTCATAAACAATTAACCACAGCTAATATAAATAATAAATTTAATAAATAAAAAATACAATCAGATTTTAGTACTCACTGTATCTTCATTTGATGCACCACTCTGATGCATATCTTCTACTACTTTTATGCATGCATGGAGTCTTTTGGTTGCTTTTTCGATTGTTTGAATTCGTGCTTGCATAGATCTCTTGGTACGAACCTCCCAATGCTCAAGCCGTCCTTCATTGAAAGCATTTTCAATATGGGACCAAAATCGATCAGATGATTGGTATACCCCAATAATTGGGTCCTGAGAAATATCCATATAAACTTGACAAAAAAGAACATCTTCATCATGGTTATAGGAAGATGAGCGGATCGACATTCTTACAAGAAGTTAGTTGTGCTAAAGCTTTAGTGTAGAGAATAAAAATATTGGGGTGTATTCACTAAAATATGATATCTTCTTTTATAGTGAAAGACCCTCTCCTCTCTCCATGGTTTAACCCGAAATGACATATCACTGCAATGACCCGAAAATGACCACTCTCTGCAAAGTTGATCACGCTTATCCATGTTCTGACCCGAAAATGACCATCCTCTGCAAAGTTGATCACGCTTATCCATGTTCTGACCCGAAAATGACATATCTCTGCAATGTCCCCCACCTCTCTCAATGCTTTGACCCGAAAATGACCACTCTCTGCAAAGTTGATCATGCTTATCCATGTTCTGACACGAAAATGATATATCACTGCAATGTCCCCCACCTCTCTCAATGCATTGACCCGAAAATGACCACTCCCTGCAAAGTTGATCACGCTTATCCATGTTCTGACACGAAAATGACATATCACTGCAATGTTCCCCACATCTCTCAATGCATTGACCCGAAAATGACTACTCTCTGCAAAGTTGATCACGCTTATCCATGTTCTGACACGAAAATGAAATATCACTGCAATGTCTCACACCTCTCTCAATGCTTTGACCCGAAATGGACACCCTCTGCAAAGTTGATCACGGTTATCCATGTTCTGACCCGAAAATGACATATCACTGCAATGTTCCCCACATCTCTCAATGCTTTGACTCGAAAATGACCACCCTCTGCAAAGTTGATCACGCTTATCCATGTTTTGACCCGAAAATGACATATCACTGCTATGTCCCCCGCCTCTCTCACTGCTTTGACCCGAAGATGACCACTCTCTGCAAAGTTGGTCACGCTTATTTATGTTCTAACTCGAAAATGACATATCACTCTTAATGTCCCCCACATCTCTCAATGCTCTCACCACACCATTCAAATTCACTACTATAAGAACATAACATATACTAAATCCTTCACACACTTGAATCTCTTCAAACATCTTAACATATTTCTCTATCCCACATTTCTACAATGAATTTTAATTTTGGCAATTCGTCATCTTCTTCCTCTGATTCTGAGGATGATCATATGCTAATTATGAATGATCTTAGTAAAAAACAAGCAGTGATAGCTCAAGTTATCGCGAATAACAACATCATCATTCATCATCTTATCAATCAACAAAACAAAGAAGCCTTCCATGGAGGATCTGTTCCTGGGCATATTTTTATCAATCGTGATCGAGAGGCTGCTGATCGTAGGTTGTACAATGATTATTTCTCAGAAAATCCATTCTATAACGAGACCATGTTTTGTAGAAGATACAGAATGTCTCGCTCATTGTTCCTTCGAATTGTCGATGCAGTCAAAGATCATGATCATTAATTTCAACAGCGAGTGGATC